TTTAAAAAGAGAGTTTGAGATTACCCTCAAACCCATTACTCTGCCCGAAGCCTGACCTAATAAACCACCAAAAAGAAAAAACATATGACCCAAGAACTTGTCCACCCTTCCTTTAAAAAAAAGTTATACTTTTAAATCATTAAATTTGAAACTTTGAAATAAGTTTCTCAATGTCGGAATTTAAAATTTTAAAAATTTAGATACTATAAATAATATATTATTTTCTTTTACGTATATTAAGTATGTAAGTTTTAAAGGGTAGAGTGATGCAAATGGTAGATAAGTGAGTATGTGTCAACCTAATTAGATGTATTCATTCTGTTGGATGTAATTCATTCCCTAATTAAAAATAAAATTATTCATTATTTTTTTATCCATTTTAACTTTACTTTTGATTCAAAAATATAATTTACACAAATATTAAGTTACAAAATATTAATTATTTTTAAATAAAATTGTATATAAAAAAGTCCACGAGCACGCCTGCTCAATATGCTCGCGGTTGGGCTGCGTGTAACCTACCCTTACCCAAAGTCTTGTCCGATCAGACCGATAACTTATTTGAGTAAGGGTTTAAACCTACATTACCCAGACTCGGCCCAACCCATGGACACCCCTACTGGCTTGATCTAATTAGCCAATCCATCTATTGCGTTCCAGACTCGTTTGCATTGCATATTTCCACTTTGTATCATTAGTTTCCCCCCGCCCTAAGCAGGGACTGTCCTAAGCTGTCCACTGGTTAGGGCTGAGTTATCTTTAATATTTGGCGTATTGGGCTGTTCTAGCATGTCTATCTAGTTGTGGTATTGGGGGATTGCACGTAACCGATAAGGCGTTTCCCTATTGTTACGCAACCGTGCATACGTGTTGTGCTTTTTGTGCTTTGAAGCCTAGGACGTGCCTATCGCATGGCAACACATGGCCATATGGCTCAAGCACATTAAATGCAAGTAGTGCTCAAAAACTGTCAATTTCCAAAGCTATTTAAAGTCTTCCCCTTTTCCACGATAGCCTTCACTTTGTCTCTCACCTTCTTTTGACTTCTAGAGATAAACAGTTTCAAAGAGGGTTTGATAAAGAGAATTTTTGAAAGAGTTTGTAATTGCCTTTCTATCTGCCAGTATCTAGCATTCCCGTCATCTCCTTCGTCTGGTTTGCCTTCCCTGAGGTACGTTTTATTTTCTCTTATTCAGTCTTGATCATTTTGATTTGTAATTTTGACATGGTCAGGAGACTGAGTCAACTCAATGTCTTCAAGGTTGTTAAAGACCTAGGCTCTTCTCCTTTCTACTAATCTATCCAGAAGTTGAGATAATCATTAGTTGGGATTAGGATAGGATTTGAATCCTCATCAAACTCTCTTCTACACAAAGAATGAGAGTTATATAGAAACCTATACAAAACAATTCGTCACTCATTTTCTATTTCTCTCTTTAGGAATCACTATCTTTAAAGATTCCTTGGTTTTGTGAGTGTGGATGCTTAGAGGACTCTTGTGACCCTCTTTTCAGCAGATTATCAAGCTTGTAGACATCTAATAAGTCACCAAGCTACGATGATGCAAGCAAGGCTCATGAAGCAAATTTATACAATCTGCTTCCACGAGTCAAGTGATAACCCGTGAATGATCTGTATAATTCCAACATTGGTGTCAGAGTTAGATCTCTTATACCATGCTTAAATATGGACAATTGAGCCAAGGTTTTGGGCTTTTGCAAGAAATAGGTCTCTTATTATTATGTGATTTAGACCAAATTTTTTATATGCATATGATCCTCATATCCTAGTTAGCATGTGTACAAAATTTGGTGGCTTAAAGATGTGCCGTTTGGTAGGAAAAAAAATTGGATCTATGTTAGACCCTTATTTTTTGACCGAATTTCGTTACTTTAAATTTGACCATTTATGAAACAAAATTCATATGGTTAGAAAGTATGATGAAAAAAGCTTTCCAACCGTATTTTATATGCATCAAACGAACTTTTGTAATGAGAGATATAGTGATACGAAGTTGGCATCGAAGTCAAATTTTTTTTTTCTGCAATTAAAATGGTTTTCTCGGAAAAGAAGATGAACCATACTATATACTATATATATATACTACTCCTAAAAGGTTGTTAAAGTGAAAAACATTTTTTTTTCATAATTACCCTCATAGTTTTGTACAATGCAAGATTAGTGCTTAAATCTATACTAAATGACTACTATTTAATGCAAAATGCTAAGTAAAACACCCTTTCATCTCCATGCAAAATGTTCGAATACCAAAAGACACACTACACTACTTTTGATTTTTTTTTTTTAAATGATGAAGAGATAGAGAGACAATTGTTCTAAAGTTGAGATTTTTTTGTACATTAATGCTTGCATTCACATTGAATATTAGCTACAAATTGGAATTTGAAGCAATTTAGGCCTTTCGTATTATATATTACTTCATAGACAGATGCTAAATTAAGCAAAAAACTCATGGGTTGTCTCACTTAAAAACACTTGTGGACCTGTGGTTCACTCAATACACTTTTCTAACCACCCCCCTCTCGTGCAAAATAACTGTGTGTGTGAATAATGAAACCATTAATACCGTTTCAGCAGGTACTGATTCAATGTTTTATTTGTTTCCCTGTTTTTCTTTTGTATTATGTTTTAGTTTGACAAGTCCAATTCTTACATCAATTTTTTTGAGAGTCGACTGGGAGAGCTTATAATTTCCCTCATTTGTTTGTGATCCTACTATGCATTATACAAGCTAGTCGTACAATGTATGTTTCAATGTTTTTAGTACAAGAACTTTTGAGGCATGGATGTAGAAGAATAAGTACTGGGGTTTTGTCCTATATGTTATGCTTATTGGCTTGGATGACATTCTTTTGGGGTATTTTTCAAAAAGATCATGACCAACGTAGGGTTTAAAGCAATTATTTGTGATTATTGGTAACCACCTATGACAAGGATGAGAATAAAGAAAGGGACATAATGTGTCAGAAAATGATTGGCAATAGACCGATGCTTTTGTGAGTAATATAACCTATAAAGTATGGATGTAGTGTTTAATCATGTCTTACTTAATGTAATTTTTTTGTATCACGGATGTTAAAGTACTGCTTCCTTAAGTTACTGATTAATTCACACATGAAGAATTTAGTGATCTTTTCATGGCATCTGGTATTAAAGGGGAATGAAATTCAACGAATTCTTGTTGTTTAATTGAGGTATTGCTAGAACAATTATCTCGCTAGAAAAATTCTCACGTAGCTAAAGAGGTTAAATGGGAGGAAGGACCATTAAATGACTGGATTGCCCTTTTGACTCCATCACGTGCTATTTTTTGTCACTCTTTGGACGTCAATTAGGGGTAAGTACAAAAGTTAGTTAATGTTGTAACATGGAGGGCGTAATTGTTATAATTAGAACTTCAAGGACTAAAATGTAACAAGTGTCAAACCTTAGATACTAACGATGCAATTTACCCATCATATTATTATACTAGTAATTGTCCATACTTGAAGACACTACATTACTCGTAAAAAATTACAATCAATGTATAGTAGAATTTCAATAATACAACGATCAAATTGATATTATTCAATCTGTATGCAGAACATATATAATCAAATTTTTATATAACAAAAATCACGCTACAATTACTGTAACATATTAATTTAAAAATCTGAAAAAAATATAATTATTATTGATCAAACGTCCACAATTTTAACATATTTAATAAACTTTATTTTCAATTTCAAAAAAATATAAATATTTATTTTTATAGGTTTCTATCTAAAGTTTATATTATTATCTTTGCATCATTTTTTCAATGTGAGTTCGTGTAACTTTTGTGAGAAAAATATCCAAAAATTTTACGCTAATTTTTGTAAATGTAAAAAATTTTGTTGACAAATTAAGACCAGTTTTCAGTTGAGATCAACTTAAATATTTATAAAATTCAATCGAATTTAAGTTTAAGCAAAAATTATACTATACTCTATAGTAAAATTTAGCTTAATTCGAGTTTTAGTTATAATTATGTCAAACCGGGAATTGAATTTAAGTTTGACTTAATTGACATTTCTATCTTAAATTTACAAACTAATTTTTATCAATTCTCGTTCACAGTAAAATCATAACTTTTTTTTTTATATAATTTAGTTAATCTTTATTCTTTTTACAATTAATTTTAATTTGACTTTAACTTGAATGTTTGTAAAATTCAAGCAAAATTAAGTTTAAGCAATAATATATACTTTATACTCGACAATCAAATTTAACTCAATTCGAATCTTAATCATAATAATTTCGAACCGATAATCGAGTAAGATGAAAGGATTCTTATAATTTTTGGGCGGAAAAAATTTTGGTAGAGGAGTTTCAATCATTTGATCAATAATCTTAAAATAATCTGAGTCACAAAAAGTTCAAGACAAACAATGTTAGCTCCCTTACTATATAGATATATCACAAATTACATATATATTATTCACCTATTATATCATTTAAATATTATAGTATTTTAATTTCCATACAAAATATGACTTATATTATAGTCATTTGACTTGTTTTGACATAAATAATCTATATTTAAGGTCAATTTGTTTATTTAAAATTTTAAAATAATATTTAATTATATATAATCATAATTAACGACATAATTAATGTGTAGTATAAGATAGAGAAATATTTCTAAGAGAGATAAAAAATTTGGAAGTGGAGTTTCAATCTTTTGATCAATAATATTAAAATAATATGAGCCGCGAAAAACTCATAAATAATGTCAACTCTCTTAGTATAAAGATATATTACAAATTACATATATATATTATTCTCCTATTATACCATTCGAATATTATAATATTTTTATTTCAATACCAAATATAACCTATATTAGTCATTCAATTAATAATTTCTCTAAATAATCTCAACCGAGCTCAATATAAACGATCTAAGTAACTTACTCTTATCACGTGAACTTCCGTAATTCCCAACAAACTCGGAGGACAGATTGGTCACGTAAAGCCATTAATCCGCCTCCCCCCAATCGCAAAACCCTATCCTCTTTCTTTCTCCCTCTCTCTCGCTCTCTCCACCTTCTTTCCTATTTTTACCTAACATTTTTCTCTGCAGTGGCTTCAAAATCATAATCCTAACACTAAAATATCAACCTTTTTTTCCACAGATTCGTAGGTGAATAGAACCTCTGCTTCAGTGCCCTAATTTCTGCATCTCTCTTAATTCAATTTGTTATTGGTAACCCTAACTTTTTCTCAGCTTCTCTTTTGATTGTGCATTTGTCCATATCATTTTAGAATGAACGACACAAAGGACAACGACGCTTACGAGGAAGAGCTTCTCGACTATGAGGAAGACGACGAAAAAGCACTTGACTCCTCCACCGCCAAAGTCAACGGCGAGGCCCCTAAGAAGTAAGTCCACCATACTGTGTACATAATGTGTTCGTGTTTATATATATGAAATCTGTTTCAGTATGCTAAATTACCAGTTTCTTTACCAGATGGGTTTTTTTCCCTTCCTTTCGCTGTTTTTGATGTAAAACTAGATCTTTAATTTTATTAGCTCCATTTGTTTTACCAGGAATATAGAGGAATTTTGTTATTGTCTATTGGCCCGAGCTATGTACATATATATGAAAGACTGGGGAGTCCTGGTAGACTGATTTCACATTAAAAAAACATATATTTACGAGATCTATGTATGATGTAGTTGGTGTATAATTTCGATTGGTCTTCTTAATTTCTTTGCAAAGCATATTGAGTTGATTTATTTTGTTTATTTGTTTGTAGGGGTTATGTAGGAATTCATAGTTCTGGATTCAGAGATTTCCTTTTGAAGCCAGAGCTTCTAAGGGCAATTGTGGACTCTGGGTTTGAGCATCCTTCTGAAGGCAAGATATGCTCGCATCAATTATCTATGATGCAGTTGGAGTTCGATATTGTGTTTCACTATGTTTTCATTTAGTGTGTGCTGTGATGTTCTCTTTTTTCATGTCACCAAACTCAAAAGTCTTCTGTAGCTTTTATCATTTGTTCATTTTGTTATGTTTTTTTTTATTAGTTTCATTTTGTTGTGTTTGAATCTGCATTTCCGTATCATTTTGTTATCTTGGTTGAGAATTTTATTTTATATCAAATTTTTGTGCATGTTACAAATGTCTTGTGGTTGTGTGGCCTGACATGTGCTAGCAGTTGACATTTAGTTTTATCGTTGAATACCTGTTTTAAATAGGATATACATACCTGCTAGCTGTAATTTTATTCATTCTGTGGACAGTTGATTTGTCTCAGGGAAATTTGGTGTGAGGAATTAATTTCTTTTTTAGTATTTGAGCATTAATTTTCTTTACTTTAAGTGGTGTAAGAATTGGTAAATTAGGTACCTCTCCTGAAATATTGTCTGGACATCTTTCTTAAACCCTTGTTGATGCACATACTTTAAGCATGTGTCAGTTTACCCACTTACATTTTTTGGTCATCTATTATTTTGATGGAAGACTCTGAATTGGACCTGTCTCTTGTCTAGCTCCGGAAGGAGCTCCTTTGTGTGGCTGTAAATGGGATTGTGTGTCAAGTCATGAACAAAAAACACGTGAATGCAAGTATATATCTTTTTTTGAATTGCTGGCAAGTGGCATCAGTAATCGCATTGTGTGTGAAACGAAGTTCAGTGACTGTATGTTTATAGAAACTGCTCTTTATTACATAAATCTCTTTATAACCATAGTACATTACATTATCGGCTCATAAAGATAATGAGTGTTTGTTGCATCTTGAGTGGTGGCAGACCTGGCTATGATGTTGATGTCAACTTTACTTTCTTTTTTGTATATGTTTCAAAATAAGCGATTAGTCACGTTTGGCTTGTTCAATTGTAATTGTATCCAAGAGTATGGAACAAAGCTTCCTCTACTATGAAAGTATGACGGCCTCGTGCAATGCACGCAATGTTGATCCCGCTCTATCCGATTTGGGTATTATGGAAAATTATTATTAAATTCCCAACCCCATCCATTTTGGGATAATGTTATGACTTTTTTTTTTCTTTCTAAATTTCAAATGCGTAGCTACACGGGCAATTATGGTGGTAGTAGTTATGTGGATAACTGGGAGGAATTTGATTGATGAAACAATGTTTTGTAATTAAATAGATTAAAATTGTGGGAAATTAGGAAATGGGGTGGGAAAGATTCCCAAGCTCTTTGCACACTTGTTTATTTATATAATGGTAGAGATTGTAAATTACATGACCACTGACTTGTGCTGTCCATCTTGGTGTTTGGATGACTAGTAGCAGGGGATATAAAGAGAAAACCAATTGAAGGATTTAATACTAGTTTTTAACCTAATCAACTCTTACATAAGTAGTATGCATCTTTCCTGAACGGTTGTTGCAGCTGCATTTTTTGGGGATAACGTTGATTTTTATGAAAGCAGCAATTTCCTTTTCAGATTAGGCTTATGTTCAGATTAGGTTTACTTTGTGATCGGCTGACTATTTTCGCTCAGTCTTTCTGCATTGGTGTTTGGCATCTCTATGCCACTGTAGTGATGTTAGATTAAGAAGAGGAAGAATTGGAGGATGTGAGAAGAGAGAAGAGACAAAAAAAGGGATGAGAAATCAGAAAAAGGGGATGAGAAGAGAAGGAATTTTCTCAATAATTCAATAATCCAAGTCTACTTAAAAATAATATCAAACCCCTTATATAGGGAACTCAAAAACCCAAACCAAAGATTCCTATTACTCTACTACTAAAAGATAAAAACATAATAATATCTAAATAAATAAAAATCCCAAAATAAATCTTCTTCATTTATCCTATTTGAACCCAATCCTCATCATTCAGTCTTATTTTTTATTTTATTTTATTCTATCTTATAATGGATGTGATGGAGGACACTTTGTGGTTGGAGCCTTGGAGGTAGTTATGCCCCTTGTTTGCTGTGGGTTGCTAACTTAATATGTTTTGTTTATCTTAAAGGTCATTTTAGTTAGTCTCAACTTCATTAGCAGATGCTACTTATCACAAAACAATCATTCCTAAGTGATTCCATTACAAGTTCTGAATGCTTGCCCTTTGGGTTTTTAACTTGCAAGTTGTTCTTGTTTTTCATGTCTAATATTTTTGGTTAGCAATTAGCTTTTCAGAATTTTGTCCTCTGAACAATTTTTTGATCGTTTACTTTCCAGGTAATTTATTACTCTCACCTAATGATTTGGAGAAGTAGAATGGTTTGGTTAACCTTTTTTAACTGAAAATAAGGGTTCCTTAGCTCCAATTTCTTTGCTTCTAAATCAGTGCAACATGAGTGTATCCCTCAAGCTATTTTGGGGATGGATGTTATTTGCCAAGCAAAATCTGGGATGGGTAAGACTGCTGTTTTCGTTCTGTCAACGTTGCAGCAAATTGAGCCTGTCTCAGGTCAAGTTGCTGCACTGGTTTTATGTCACACAAGGGAATTAGCTTACCAGGTATGGATCAAAATTAGTAGATTTTCTGTCTCTTTCTCTCTCTCTTGCTCTCTGAATCTGTTGATTCAAATGGGTCTTTTTTTGGGTGGGGCCATCCATATTTTCTGCAGATATGTCACGAGTTCGAAAGGTTCAGCACTTACTTGCCTGATATAAAGGTTGCTGTTTTCTATGGTGGTGTGAACATAAAAATCCACAAGGATCTCCTGAAAAATGAATGCCCTCATATTGTTGTTGGAACGCCTGGAAGGATACTTGCGCTAGCAAGAGATAAAGAACTATCTTTGAGGAATGTGAGGCATTTTATACTTGATGAATGTGACAAGATGCTCGAGTCACTTGGTATGTCTTTTTCCTCCCGATATTATCTTGACAAAATTTCTGATCTTTAGAAATTTAGGAGTCAAAGTTTTCTTTTTTCCTCCCTATTTCAACTGTATGAATTTGTCTCATAACTTTGTTTGTTTATATGTTCTACAGACATGAGGAGAGATGTGCAGGAAATTTTCAAGATGACTCCTCATGATAAGCAAGTTATGATGTTCTCGGCAACACTCAGCAAGGAGATCCGCCCTGTTTGCAAGAAATTTATGCAAGATGTAATGTCTCATGGCCAGTTCTACTTGAATTTGCAAGTCAAGAGTTTTTCCGTAAAAGCCGGCTTTCTGCAGGCGATACTTAGATGGTCAAGAATGCAGTGGTTGCAGCACTGTATGCTTGGCACTTGTAGTGTGTTGTCCCATGCCTTAATTCAATTCTTCTATTGGGAAATTTAGCTTGGTTAGGGAAGGGTTAATGGCAATAGAAAGTCATCTAGGATTCTTCAACGTCTAGTAGTGTGGGATATGGTCTATTACATATGGACTTAGGCTGTTTATCCTTTGGTTCATATCCTTTAGCTGTTTTCTTGTTTCCTTTTGGTCTTTAGTGGGGGTATCTGGTTGAGGCTGATGTTGGTTGTCTTGCCTGGGTTTTCTGTTAGTTGTGTAGTAGTACTTCTGATGAGCAGCAGTGGGCTTGCTTGGTATGATTTAAGGGGTAGTGGTACTTCTGATACTGCAAGGAGACAAATCAGATGGACTGGAATCTTGATCCAGGGGATGTTCATCCATCATTGATTTCGTACTGGATTCCATTAGCTTCCGGAAGGATCCTAATATGCTTTAACTGTGACATTTGTTCGTTTCAGCCAATGGAAATTTATGTGGACGACGAAGCCAAGTTGACCCTGCATGGTCTTGTGCAGGTGTGTCTGATTTTTTTAATGCAAATCTCTTGTTATAACATGTATCTTACCTTGTCCGTTTCATGGCAGCACTACATCAAATTGAGTGAGCTCGAGAAGAACCGCAAGTTGAATGACCTGCTCGATGCATTGGACTTTAATCAAGTTGTTATATTTGTGAAAAGTGTGAGCAGAGCGGCAGAGCTGAACAAATTACTCGTGGAGTGTAATTTTCCATCCATCTGCATCCATTCTGGCATGTCCCAGGAAGAGAGGTCTATACCATTTTTGTGTTCAATATTCACATTTGTGGTTTATGGCTTAATGAAACTACTGGTGTAGGCCGTACCTTTTGTTATCTTTTAGCATATTATTTGGCATTCGAAGCTAATGATGCACTTCAGTGCAAAAAACCTATGTTTCATATGTCATGTCACTTGATTGGCCTAATAAGAGAAAATAAGTGATAAGAATTGTATGAGAGCAGTTCATCAATTGAAAAAATAAAAGGAAACTAGTGTGGATATGCACATCTTTTAATCAGCGTGATGTTAACTTGATACAGCTGCATAAGGCGAATGAATTTACTCCGTGAAGATCATTTTAGACTGCCAATGAGTTGATTCGTCCCAACTTGCAGAATTGTAGAAAACATAGATGTGTAGTTGCCACAATTTGCTAAGCATGATTTTGAACCTTTAAATGGACACTATGGATCGTGTGTGCGAATGCCGCGTGCTCTGTTTGTTCCTCCTCCTTCCTGTGTCCACATATGGTTTGGACACGTGCATGAACGCAAGGAAGCCTCCCGGCAAAGCGAGGGAGAGAGCTTTGGAATGAATTGAGAGAAGAAATGAGAGTGGGTGAAGACCATGAAATATGTGTTCACACGTGGTTTCGACCCTTTTGGAAAATTTGTCTCATGTACCCTATACACCACATACTTGTTGAATGTATGCTTTGGTCGCAGTAGTTTTAGGCACAGTGATGCATTGGTGTTTCTATAGTCAATCTTTTATATTTCTTTTTAAATGCCCACAATTTGTCGTTTATACCCGTTATTTTTTAACCAATTTGCATATAAACATGTTGTCTTGATGTGTTGGCTGTTATGTACATGCTTTTGTGCTTGGGATGTGTCCTAGCTGCTGGTTTTGTCTACTGTCTTATGCGAATTTGTGGTCCAACTTCTGATTATAAAATTAGTGTTGATGTTTTTTCCAGTTGTTTTCTGTGATGACCATGGATTTTTGTCAAGCTGACTCATTACTTTTTTGTAGGTTGATGCGCTACAAGGGTTTCAAGGAGGGGCAGAAGAGGATTCTCGTGGCAACAGATTTGGTCGGTAGGGGGATTGACATTGAACGGGTTAACATTGTCATTAACTATGACATGCCAGATTCTGCAGATACCTACCTGCACAGGGTTGGTTTAGTTTGATCATTGTTCATTTCATCTCAGGCTTCCATTTTTTTTTTTTTGTTTAGGCATTTCTAAGCTTTCTTGTGCATTTTGCCTTGGGATTTTGACAGGTGGGTAGGGCCGGTAGGTTTGGCACCAAAGGACTTGCCATCACCTTTGTTTCCTCTGCTTCTGACTCTGATGTTCTAAATCTGGTCAGGAGCTATGATTTTTTGACTTTGCGTGGTCTCGGTACCCCTAATTTCTTCCCTCTTTCTGTTTGTTTTTTTTTTTTTTCTCAATATATGCTGGTTGGCTTATTGTAGGTTCAGGAGAGGTTTGAGGTGGACATTAAAGAGCTTCCTGAGCAGATTGATACCTCTACATATAGTATGTCCTGCATTCCTTTAGAATAATCCATTCTGAAGTAATTTGTCTTTGCTGGTATTATAACTAGTGTTCAATATATTTTATGTAGTGCCATCATGATGTGGTTCACAACCTGCAACCGTCAGTGCCCAAGAGGGAAGGAGTGCTTCTTGTCAGTTGTAAAGTTTTTCTTCATTGGGCATAGTATTATGTTTTAACTAGTTGATTGGCAGGTTGATGGTCTACTCTTCTATGCTTCATTCTGCTTCTGAAGTATTGTAATTTTATTATGCCTGTGGGTGGCCCTGCAGAGAGTGAGTTATTCAACTTACAAACATTTTTAACTCAATTTCTGGGTTTCGTGCATGTGTGGTACAATCATTATTAAGTCTAGCACTATTTTTTCTTTTTCAAACATTGGGTTCATGCATAGAATGCCTGGTCAGTTGTATGTATTTTTGGTTAATTAGACGTGATAGTCTCCTCCAGATGTGGAAGGCAAGGAAGTAGTTCGGGAAAGGGGAAAAGTCACCCACTAGTTGGCATAGCCAATTATAAGGAATGGTGGCATGCCGATGTTAAGAAATTGGAAGAGAGAGAGAGAGAGAGAAGGAAGCATGACGAGACATAACTTGTAGACTCGATGTTTATTACGTGATACCATACTGAAGGTTTCTCTGCTATAGGGCTGTCCTTCGCTCTAAACAGGTTGCATGCTGGTGACCTGGTGTTCTCTCAGAGTCGGTTAACAGGTAAGAAGTAACAATGCTTGGATTGTGTAAATTTATACACGTTCATAGTTGTTTGATAAAGCTTGATTGTTACCGCCAGTGTGCTGGAATTGGGCTGGCAGTTGGCACATAATCCTGAACTAAGTTTTTGGGAGTGTAAATGACTGATGTTTTTAGTCAATAGATTAATGGTTTAGTTGACAGGTATAGATTCCAAATTTAAATCCAGCAAACTTTTGGTATTGTTCTCAATTATTTTAGATTTTAAGGTTTCATGTTTTGAGTGTACATTGAAAATTCCTATTTGTCATTGCTGATTTGATATGATCAACGTTTCAGTCTCATGTAGCAATTTGGTTATGTTTTGTGGGATTGAAGGATTAGAAGCTATATTGAAGTCTTTTGGAACTTGTAACCTTTGTCAATAACCTTCTCTATTGCAGGAATATCTAATTTTCCATATCTGGGTGATATAGTTTTTGGATACATTTTTATATATACACATTTTGAAAGTACTTTTTTTTGGTCTGTTTCAACTATTCTTTGTAAATAGTGTGTTGTGTTTTATATATAGTACTGCACATGCATGCAAGTTTATCATACGTCACTTTATTTAAAACTGTGATGGAATATATTTTTTATTATGATAAAATTATTTTATTGTTTAGAAAATTGCTGGCAAAAATACATTAAAATTTCTGTGGATGCTGCTGACATCAATGTAATTTTTCACCTTTAATTAAAAAATTATTTTTTCCATAGTTTTTGTCTGTCCATTTCCAAAACATAATAAACAATTTGTTCCAAGAGAATGTGAAATCAATTGAAGTAGTTGGGGAGGTAATGCGAGTAATTCAATAGTAGAGGGATAAAGTGAGATTTGTTTTTTCGGTCAGACGCGGGATGATGAGGTTTAAACCCATTACCTTAAAGGTTCAACAGTGGAGTGGGGATGGTGGCCATTATTATGTCAATAGCTAACTTTGATGAAGCTAGATAAAGACTGTAATTTAATGATATAAAACGAGATTCAAGTAGTTTGGAGGGGTAATGTGAGTAATTCAAACGTGAGATTGAGAATATAATTTAAGGATATGAAGTCTTGACTGTCCGTCAGAGAAAAAGGTGTAGTGAAAAATAATTTCTATAATTCGGTAAGTTACGCAACGTAGTTCCACGAAGAGGATCAAGTGTTGATAAGAAGCAAAGTGGATTCGAAGGAGTGCCCCTTCAATCCTCTGCTACTCTTTTCCATCATTGTTAGTTGGCACCCCTGGTGTCCAATTTCTGGCTCCGCCTCGCTCGCCCTTCCTTCAATATAGATGTTTCGTAGGGATAACAATAGCTAGAGAGAGCTATAGAGAGAGAGAGAGAGAGAGAGAGAGAGAGAGAGAGAGAAGAGAGAAATTTGAAGGAAAAGTATTAAAGAGGATCAACTCTTGGAAAAGTTTACGGTTCCAAAAAAAAAAAAATTCGGTATTATATTGTCAATTACCATTTTTTATGGTAAAGTTATAACTTTGAAAGAAAAAGTTATAATTGTATAATGGAAAGTTATGACCGATCACAAACATCCATGATCGATCATGAACTCTTGGTATCGATCATTATATTTCAAGATTGATTATACCTTTTAAAGTTGTAAACTAACCTTAAAAAATTATAATTTTTAGTACGATATAGCCGGTGGCTGTGCCGTAGCGTTTTCCCTTTTGCCCTTATTGAAAGGAGAGTAGTCTTACTATTACTCATATTTTGGGGGGTGAATTAAACTTTGTATACTAAAAGATTTAAGAATTCTCATTTTATTTCCTTAGAGATTAAATTTATCATATTATACCCTAAATGTATTAAAATTGTTATAATGTGGTCCTTCCATTAACGAAAACAAATGGAGTAAAAAACAAAAACTGACGGAATGGTCGCATCACAATATTTGTAATACATTAAATGTACAATATAAAAAATCTAATATTTGAGGGTGCAATATAAAAAATTTTAAATATTAAAAGTGAGATTCTCCCTATTTTGGGGTGTAACTGATATTTGAACAAACCTCAGGAATGTGGATATAATTAACTCAATTCAATTTGTATTCTTCTGGCAACACTGTTTTCTTCGTCTCATAGAATCTGTGGCTTGATCTTGTCACGCTCGGATCACATTTGTAATGTCACCTACTTTGTGTCTGCCCCTCCAATGCATGTTATGTAGTAGTATAAGATATTGATGTCCAATAATACCTGGATTGTTCAGAACATCTATACTATATATTATCACAATTAATTTAAGAAAGAGAGAGTTTGAGAAGCGTTCTCTACTCATATTCTTTTTCCTTAGATTTTCATTTAATTGTAACACGACCTTTTATACAATCAGATTATGCCATATGTTCCATATAATCACCCCGGAAATAGAATAGGAAAATCCCGGTTTTTTTGATGTAAAAGTAGCAGTATTTCTTGACTAAATTCTTATTTCAACTAATTCCTCAATACCCGGTGATGCTCTTACTACAAGAAAGTTAGGGCAGCAAGCAAGTAGGAAGTTCGATCAATCAATCGCTCAATCCACCCAAGGCAAGGGATCAAGGGGACGGGCCAGATAGTTATTAACTAGACCCAATTCCAATAAAGGGGGTAAATGAAAAGTCAGAAAGAGGAGTTGTTGAATCAAGCGATAGAAAAGAAAGATTCGTAAAAACACGGGTTAGCACTCTCCACATCACTAATTAACTATCACTTATTTGCATATTTTTCCCAAAAAAAATATTTGTATGATTTATCATAATTCTTATCTATTATCCCGAGTGATGGATGAAGAAAGAGTAATACTATTTAGACCTAAAAATCTGACTTAATTTACTGATATAAGAACGTGGCTTCAGTGGAACCATTGAATCAACACCAAATTTCAATGTTTGATAGAGCCTACGGTAAATTCAATGATCATAATGAATTAAGTCAACAAATTAAGTTAATAAATTAGGTCTCAATAACATTGCTCTTTAAATATAAAAGAATTAAAAAAAGACTTAAATGTTACAAGTCCGCGGCTAGTTCTTACATAAGTTGTCGATTTTTTTTTATTTTATTTTTTGAACTTGTATGTGTTGTTGTATATATGCTGTTGATCGATTCAACACATTTCAAAGTAACTTCTACCCTAGGTGGGGAACCATTTGTAGATGCGGCATAAGAAAGACATCTAACTCGGGCTTAATTACTTTCTAATTACTTTTTTTCAATTTTACTTGATAGAAAATCACGAGTCACAAAGTAGCCGGGGTGCCATTACATATAAGTCAAATTTTCACCATTCCACAAATTGTAATTTACTACAAAGATAAATGGACAAATGGTAGTTTACACCTTGAAAGATTAAAAAAATTCTCAATTTGCACCCTCAATTAAATTAATTGATAGCAATGTGATCTTAACCATAACATTTGTTGCGAGTTTCGTCAAATTGATAGCTACTTGAGACATACATGAAAAGAGAAATAATTATAATCTGACAAAAGTCATTTCGTGCATTTCACGTGGTTATCAATTTGACAAAAATCACAATCTCAACTATAAACATACGTCCATGAAAATTTTTATTAGATTGATAAACACGTGAAACACATATATAAAGAAAAACGTCATAATCTGACAAAAATCATCATGTGCATTTAATGTGGTTGACAATTTGATGAAAATCACAACGGACGTTATGATTGGAGTCACATTGCTACTAATTCATTTAATTGAAGATACAATTTAAAATAATTAATTTTTGAGGGTACAAATTAAAAATTTTCTAATCTTTTGAGGTGCAAACTGCTATTTGCCCAAGATAATTTGTAAGGTGTATTAGAAAAGATCGTTGATCTTCTCTATTCCAATCCCTATCCCTTTGGTTTTATCGATTCATAGCGACACATTTTCATTCATTAATGGTTTATTCCTCTACATTTTCTATCTTTTAACAGATAATACTAGACTGACCAAAAAATGAGATAAAAAAAGAATCTAATGATATGACGTTGATATAATGTGTAAATTTAAATCTCAAGTGAGACAAAAAAACACTTCTATATCAGCGACGCATCATTTTCCGTCACTCATTTCTTTTCCAATAGGTGTCATAAAAAGACAAGAACTTGCATCTATTGTTCTCGCAGGTTAACCTATAATTGCAGGCATACCTCGCCAAAGCCTACAAATAAAAGAATATCAACTCCAAATTACTTGATAGGAAATTGTTTTAGAAACTTGACCTCATTGCTAAAAGATAAACAATCAAACGAGCATACGACAATCTCTTAGTATAAACCTTTCCTTTCCCACTTCTACATGCACATATACATATATAAATATGTTACAAGTAATCCGTATATAGTTTAGAAGAGTCTTGCTTTATGTTTTGGGGCTCTCATCCACAACAATATGCCCATATGAGAAAAGTGTTGGAGCTTCTTCTTCCTACACCATGTCTGAAAGAATTCATGTCATCGACATATAAGCAAACGATAAGAAATTGTCCCTTATTGAGCTAAAAGCGTACTTATGCTATCCTGCCTAGTGACTGGGAACAAAGTAGCTCTCAGTTTATATTGTGGCTCTTATCCACACCATGTTGATGATTTTGATCCTCTCTTGCTTGTTGAGCCAAGCTTCTGTTAGCTGCGTGGAGTCCTACAATTTCTCTTTTCCTGGTTTTGATCCCGGAAGTTGTGGAAGTGAAAGCAGTTTAATATGCATGGGGTCGGTTACGGTTGGCAATGGGAGCTTAAACCTCACACCGGACGATGAACAAGGCGTTGATAACAAGGTTGGCCGGGTTTTGTTCCGTCACCAGGTTCTTGCATGGCCCGCATCTTTTACCACCACCTTCACCATCAGGTTTGTGACTCGACAAACCAAATCTGGTGACGGAATGGCATTTATTTTAGCGCAGGACGATCAGCCGTCACCACCGGAAAGCTATGGCTCATTTCTTGGAATTCTTAATTCCTCAACTCAAGGTGAAAATTGTATGCTATTTCTAGGAGTAAACCACAGTATGTCCAAAACTTTGTTTGGAACATGTTTGTATTTACGCATGTAATTAATTTATGGATTTTTTTCTGATGCTTTTTGTTCAATATTTTTCTAGTTTATTTTCCAACTCGATCACTTTGGGGTTATTTGTCCTAGTAATTAAGTGCCTCTATGTTGTGTTCAGACTTAAGATGTCCAAGCTTTGATATTAGAACAACTGATAGTTAGGAGGATGATCAGCACAGACTTTTGACTCGAACCCTATGAACTCGAAGATACACTATTCAAAATAAACAATCTTTCTCTATCAGATCCCTCTGTTAAACTTGATCAGAAATATATCAAACTACCTGACACCTGATAAACAAAGAAGGCAGCCTAGCGCAAAAGACTTCTATCACAACGGGGCTTGTGGAAAGTACAAAGTTCTACCCACATATGCAAAAATCCAGTTTCCATGACTCGAACTTTTGACCTCTAATAATGCATCAACTTATCCGTTGATTATATATGGATAGGAATTATCTCTGAGTTTCTGATTTATTGTCTGGAGCCTGATTTTGGTTTACAAATACATTAACTAGTCAAATGCATATTGCAACCAACTACGGGCTCATGTTTTTTTTTGTTTTTTATTTTGTCTCCAAACACCAGTATACCATGTCAGATTAGTAATTCCACGATGTGGAATCTATGATTGCTCAGAAACTTAAACTTGGACATGCTGGACTCTAGAGAAACAGTGGTCTGGTTATTGGATTCATGCTTTGTTGATTATGTGTTTAATCTGCAAATATAGGTGGCATTCTTAAACAACTTGCAGTGGAGTTTGACAGTTACAAGAATGAAAATGAAGACAGCGGAAACCATATAGCAATCGACACAATAAGTGTATCAGACCCGGTTGCAGAAAAGAGTTTGAACAGCACCGGGATCGATTTGAAGAGCGGAAGAAACATCAAGGTAAAGATTGATTATGAAGGATGGAGCAAAATGCTCCAAATTTATGTGGCATATGCTGGTGACCCTCTTGTGAGTTTTCTCAGCAAGAAGATAATAATGAAGAAAACTGTTCCAAAATATGTTTATGTTGGTTTTACAGCCTCCACCGGTTTTCTCTCAGAGACCCATCAAGTTCTTGATTGGGATTTCACAGTGTATGAACTCCCAAAAAAGTCTCTCAAAGATGAAGTTGAGAAAAATAGAAAGATTTTACTGGTAGTTGTCATTCCAGTGGTTGTGGGGTTCTTGCTTATTGTAGCAATTGCTGCACCATTTGCTCTCAAAGCTAGAAGAAAGAAGAATCAAGGGAGGAAAGAGGATTTGGAAATGCTAACGAGGAGTGCAGCCAGTGCACCGACCATGTTTACTTACAGGCAGCTTTCAAAGGCTACTCGCAATTTTAGCAAAGAAAACCTATTGGGAGCTGGGGGATTTGGAAGTGTTTTCAAAGGGGTTATCGGTGATCCTCCCACAGCCATTGCTGTCAAGAAAATTAATGCAACATCAAAACAAGGTTTGTTCTACTACAATTCTGTTCTTGGATAATAGGCCACTTTGAAAGGTACTATTATATGATCTTCCATGATTATGTGAAACCTTTTCAGCAATACTAATCACGTGAATCAATTATCTATTTATAATGAAACAAGCATACATTAATCAAATTCTCTTGTTAGAATAATGCTATTATTCCATTTAGCTTCTTCCTAAATTGTTGGTATTGGCATATTGCTATAATTGTGGTGGTTTTGTATTCCACTATGATTTGCATAATTGCATGCAATCCAATATATAGCCCTTAACAATTTTAATTGCAAAGTGTAAATTTTTTAGGTGACCCTTTTCTTGGATATCTGACCTCAATCAGGAAACTTTGTAGTTTTTTGGGTGATAGGCACATTTTGTCATTGATGGTAGATAGCTGAACTTTTTCTCTTACTTTAGTTTCGTTTGCAATCTTAATCCATAGACGCAAGTTCTCGAACTGAACTACATAATCGTATTCAATAATTTTGTATTTTGTTTCCTTAAATCCGTGAAATTTTCAGCATTTGTAAATGCAATAAGACAACTTTCTTACCTCTATACCAGGTGAGAGAGAGTATTTGGCTGAAATATGTACCATTGGGCGCCTAAGGCACAAAAACTTGGTGCAACTCCAAGGTTGGTGCCATGAACGTGAGCAACTCCTCCTCGTCTACGAATACATGCCCAATGGCAGCCTCGATAACTTCATCGGCAAGCTCTTTCTCGACTGGAAAACCAGGTACAATGTACTCACCGGACTCGCCTCCGTGCTCGTATACCTCCATGAAGAATGTGGCCACCCTGTAGTCCACCGAGACGTGAAACCCAACAACGTGATGTTGGATTCAGACTTCAATGCCCATCTCGGTGACTTTGGCCTCGCAAGATTGCTCCAAAACGACGCTTCTGTCACCACCATGCTAGCAGGAACTCCGGGATACTTGGCTCCAGAAGTCAGCTACACCGGAAGGGCTACTCCGGAGGCCGACGTCTACAGCTTTGGAATGGTGGTGCTGGAGGTGGTTTGTGGGAGAAGATCAAAGGGCATAATGGAGGAGAACAGCTTAGTCGACTTCGTTTGGAACTTTTATCAAACAGGTAGAGTGCAAGATTGTGTGGAGCAGAAACTAGAAGGCAAATTCGATCAAGAACAAGCAAGAAGGACTTTGATTGTTGGGCTTGCGTGTTTGCATCCAGATTATACGTTACGACCCAGAATGAGAAAAGTAGTTCAGATTTTGATGAACCCAGAAGAGCCTCTAATGAGCTTGCCGGAATGTCGACCCAGTGCAGTGTGCATATGGCTGAACTCTTCTTCGGCTGCAACTACAACTGATTTTGGATCTGGAATTGGTCCTTTTGGAGGTTCCATGGATTCCTTCGCCGATGGAACGACGGTCACAAATGGCTCAGTGACAAGTTAATACAGAGCTTCTGCTTAAAGAATTACAATTAAAACTTACTTAGTGTGAATAACATTTTGAATTGTAATCAATTTTTTAATTTACAGCCTTAAATATTAATTTTTTTATTATATCTCTAATCACATAAAAACGTAATAAGGTGGTCTAAAACTAAACATTCGTTCATTGCTTTGTTGAGTAATTTTTTTACTATATATCTACAGTAATTTGTATGCAAGTTAGTCTTTAATATTATACATGGGATTTATTTACTTAATTTTTTTTTTAAACCGATCATATTGTAATTTTTTAATGTGATTGAGAGTGTAGTGTTCAAATTTTAATTTTTTATAAAGTAAAAATTATAAAAACAAGTGTCATTTGCTCTAAAACTTGTGACTAACTAAAAATTGATTCCATTAGAGCTCAATTAGGGATACTTTTTGATGCACAAAAAATAGCTTATACATGATGATACTTCAAACAAGTCTTACCTACATGATGATACTTCAAACAAGTCTTACCTGTGAGTTCAGGAAAGGAGGTCAGGAAAGATACGGAGAACTTAAAGAACCAGGGGTAGAGCTCCCCTTAGGGAGATTGTAGCAAAATTGACCAGAAAACAGCTGGATGACTGCGAAAATTGAGTCCAATGCATAAAACTCTCAACCAACCAAGATTCTTTCCTAAAATTAAGGAGAATTTCATGAATAACGGACAAAGATCTCGGCCGAAATCTCACAGAATAGGGAACAGCCTTATAAATACTATGTAACGCCTCATCGAGGGGAGAGGACCCTAGAAAAAAAATCCTAATTAGATCATGCATTGTACTGTAATATATTTGAGTAATCAATAGAGAAAAAGATGAGCAAGAGCCTCCATTAGAGAGTGGATTAGCCGAGCTCCAGTGTCGATGAACCACTATATTCTTACTGTTTAAATTTTCCTACCCTCTAAGAAACACTTCATCACTGTCATTATGAAGTTGACAGCCTAGATTCACCTTTGGTCCCACGCACTCTGTTCACCCTCGTTAGTCTGCACCATTAGTTTTGCGTCGTCTATAGGAACGACTGTTCCTGTTACAAATAAGCTGATCTCTTAGTGACTGATGATATCAACACGAAACATGAGCAGAAGTCAAACAAACCCACCTTGGATGCAGGATCAACAGGGAGCCACCAATGGCAACAGCTCAAGAATGTCCCAGAGACTGATCCTCCCATGGGAAATCCCCCCATGAATAATGAGATGGAGACCCTTCGCCTCGTCAATCAATGCTTGTTAAAGCAAAACGAATAGCTCTTACAGCGCTCACAGGAAGCACACCCGGCCCAAGAAGGTCAGAACAGTCCCCGCCACAGGGATCAACAACATCTTGGTCCATTTAGAGAAGACAACGAAGGAGGGGAGAACAGCCAGACCTTGGGGCAGGTTCCCTAATTACCCCCTAAGAATGGCCACAATGAAGAAGTACAAAGTCAAAACCATGAAGGTGAAAAGAATGATGTCTTCCCTTATCAGCAGGAGAGAAGGAACAATATTGGGAGCAACACATCAAGGGCATCCAACAGGAGCTCAGCCACATGAAGGAAGCGGTCAGAAGTAAAGCTCTAGTTACAATGGACGCCTTGGGGCAACAGACTGAATCTTCATTCACGCTTGAGGTGTTACATTTTTCCCTCCCCCCAAGGTTTAGGATGCCACAGATAGAGTCCTTTGATGGAACCAGGGACCCCATGGACCACCTCAACACTTATAAGAACCAGATAGAGTTGCACGGGTACCAAGATCCCATACGCTGTCGAGCCTTTGCCATCACTTTGAAGGGTTCATCCTTGGCGTGGTTTAACAGGCTCCCCCCGGTCTCAATCTCTTCTTTCAAAGAACTTTCCATTTCCTTCGTATCCCACTTCATAGAGGCTCAGACCTATAGAAAGCCAAGCTATCACCTTTTGAATGTGAAACAGGGACCTCAAGAAGACCTCAGGTCTTATGTCCAAAGATTTAATTCGGAGTCGTTAAAGGTGGATGTCCCAGACAAAAAGTTCGCCATCACTGCCTTCATAGCTGGTCTAGGGGTGCAATCTAAAGATTTGATATTCTCCATATCAAAAAATTCTCAAGCAAGCATGGCTGAGGTGCTTACCAAAGCAGAGAAATATATAAACGGTGAAGAAGCTATTCTTTCTAAGGTATGGAGCTCTTCCGCACATAGAGATAAGGGAAAGGAAGAGAAAAAGAGGAACCGAAGTCCTAGGAGAGAGAGGGAAAAAAATAGATCTCCAAAGAGAGAGATATTTCTCAGAAGAGATAAAGAGCGATCCCCAAAAAGAAAGGGGAACGTTAAGGACCGATTAGGACCCCCGCAGCCTGAATTACAGCCGAGGTATGCACCTCAGCAATATACCCCTTTCATTGCAACAGTGTCCCAGATCCTATACGAGGTGCAGAACCAGAAGTTCCTAAGGTGGCCTCCACGAATGAAGGCAGATCCAGCTAAAAGAGACCCTATGAAGTATTGCGAGTATCATAAGGATCATGGCCATCACACTGATGATTGCATTCAACTAAAGAAGAAGATCGAGTTCTTGATCCAGAGGGGGTAGTTGCGACAATTTGTTGCCCATGACAACCAAAACAGGGCTCCACCACCACCGACACCTTAACAGCAAGCCCCTGCACTGCACTAGCAACCTTTAGGAGAGATCAGAGTGATATCTGGAGGATTTTCTGGCGGTGGAGAATCCAGTGCAGCCAGGAAAGCACACCTGCGTAGGATCAGAGCTGGCGAAGTGCTGGAAATGCACACCGTGCACAAAATACCTCGACTGAGCACAACCATCACTTTTTTAGATTCAGACTTGAAAGGCTGCCAACATCCCCATGATGACCCGTTGGTGGTAAGGGCCATTGTGGCTAACCAAATAGTTCATCAAGTTCTAATTGACAATGGGAGCTCGGTCGACATCATTTTTACCTCTGTCTTTGACAGAATGGGCATAGGAAGGGAGAAGCTCGAGCCAATAAGTGTTCACTTAATGGGATTCTTAGGGGAGAGGGTGCTACCCTTGGGATCCATCTAAATCGTGCTCACTATGGGAGACCCTCCTTGCTAAGCCACCACCACTATGAAATTCCTAGTGGTTGACACCCTTTCTGCGTACAATATGCTACTTGGGAGACCATCCCTCAACGCAAAGAAGGCTATCCCCTCAACATTTCACTTGTTCATAAAATTTTCTACAAAAAATGGAGTTAAAAATGGTCCGAGGAGACCAGCGAATAGCCAGGGAGTGCTACATGGCCTCGGTGAAGCAGAAAGAGATTGAAAATATTCAGTGAATAGCCAGCGGATCAGGAGAAGACATCGTTTGTGACTGAACAGGGAACTTACTGCTACCAGGTCATGCCTTTTGGATTGAAGAATGCTGAAACCACCTATCAGGGCCTAGTGAATAGAATATTCCAGAAACAAATTGAGGCATCCATGGAGGTCTATATCGATGACATGTTGGTAAAATCACTGAAGGCAGAGTTGCACATCGAGCACCTAGTAGAATTGTTCCAAATCCTCAAGGAGTACAAGATGAAACTCAACCTTGTAAAGTGTGCCTTTATGGTATTAGTAGGGAAGTTTCTGGGATTCATAGTCAATAGTAGAGGAATCGAGGCTAACCTAGAAAAGGTTAAGGCAGTTCTAGATATGCGACCACTGTCCAACTTCAGGGAGATCCAACGCCTGACAGGAAGGATAGCCGCCTTGATTCGTTTTGTATCCAAATCAAGTGACAAGTGCCAACCTTTCTTTTAGGTCTTGAAGAAGGCGTTTTAGCGGGACACACCCGGTGTGAGGAAGTGTTCAAAGTACTGAAGGAGTACCTAAGCTCTTCTCTTGTCCTGGTAAGCCTCTTAGAAGGGGAAGTGCTTACTCTTTATTTTTCTGTCTCAAATTTCTTAACTAGCGCATCACTAGTTAGGGAGTGAGACAGAGCTCAACAACCAGTTTACTACTGTAACAGAGCTCTGAGAGGAACAACGGAGAGATATCCAAAGATGGAAAAGCTAGTTTTGGCCCTGGTGACTACAGTCAGGAGACTTAGACTATATATTCAGGCTCATACTATCGAGGTTTCAACATATCAGTCAATGAAGCAAGTGCTGCATAAACCAGAGTCTTCGGGAAGGCTAATTAAGTGGGCAATAAAACTCAACGAATTTGATATTAGGTATAAGCCAAGGACTGCAATCAAAGGGCAAATCTTGGCAGATTTCATTGCAAAATTCACCACAGTAACACCCGCAGAAGGTCTTGAAGAAGGCATTTCAGTGGGACACCCGGTGTGAGGAAGTGTTCAAAGCACTGAAGGAGTACCTAAGCTCTCCCTTGTCTTGGTAAGCCTCTTAGAAGGGAAGTGCTTACTCTTTATTTCTCTGTCTCGAATTTCTTAACCAGAGCAACACTAGTTAGGGAGCAAGACAGAGCTCAACAACCAGTTTACTACTGTAACAGAGCTTTGAGGGGGGCAGCGGAGAGATATCCAAAGATAGAAAATCTAGTTTTGGCTCTGGTGACTACAGCCAGGAGACTTAGACCATATTTTTAAGCTCATACTATCGAGATTTTAACAGATCAGCCAATGAAATAAGTGTTGCATAAACCAGAGTCTTCGGGAAGGCTAGTTAAGTGGGTAATATAACTCAGCGAATTTGATATTAGGTATAAGCCAAGGACTGCAATCAAAGGGCAAATCTTGGCAGATTTCATCGCAGTAACACCCGCGGAAGCCATACTACTAATACCTGACCTTCCTGTATGAAAACTTTCGGTAGACGGAGCTGCCAATGCCTAAGGAAGTGGAGCTGGATTGATCCTGACCTTTTCAGATAGAGTAGACGTGGAATACGCCCTCAAGTTCGGGTTTAAGGCTTCAAACAACAAGACCGAATATGAAGCTATCATTACTGGGCTCAATCTTGCTCATTCAATGGAGGCAGAGCAGCTGGAGATCGGCAGCGAATTCCAGCTTGTCGTGAAACAAATAAAGGAGTCATACGAGGCTAAGGATGAGAAAATGGTTCTCTACCTTAGAAAGGTACATG